AGATGAGGGAATAGAATTATGTTTCCCTCAAGAAGAATGACTTCCAACGTGAGCCTTCAGTGAAAAACATTTGCTGGATCAACTCCAACTTTTTTCAGAATAATATCTTCCCTCCATGGAAGCACATCTCCTTAACCAGCTCACACTCTGCCCTACTGGCTAGATGTCCACCTCCTGGGCAGGGGACGGGGCTTGTCCTTCATCCTTTGATGTCAACATGCTCTTGACCTTTATTCTGACAACATTTATATGTTAATGTTCATGTCTGAGGGGCAGTGCTATGAAACACAAGAGGCCTTTGGGATCAGAACGCTTGGGGTTCTGACTCTGATTCTTATCCCTGTTGGCTTTGTGGTCTTAAACAAAAAGCCATTTGACCTCTCTTGCTCTTCAAATTCCTCAACTATAAAATAGGAACTATGAAAAAAAAAATGCAGTCTTAGGACTGACTGTTGACAGTACCTGGTGTGTAGTGTCTGGCTCTCAAAGACATAATAATTGTAGCTAATCTTAATGTCACTCTCCAGCCAATGTCTCAGATGAGATGTTATTGGTAATGTCATAGACAGTTCTAAGGCTGTTTTGAATTTGAGAACTCTATTGAGTATCTCTCATGAATCTTGGAAGAGGGACTGACTTCTAAGCCTCATTAGCTTTAGAATAAATTTCTTCTGCCAGCATGACACACGATGAGCTGGAACACTTATGCACGGTTGGAGGTGTTGTGACTAATACAACTTTGTCACATAGGGCCACATCCCCAGAGAGGGGACAGCCTCGATCTGCAATCTCTAAACACTTTCATAGTTCTGGGAGATCACTGCCAGCCTCCTCCATCCTCAACCAGGCGTAGAAAATGGCCCAGAGGATGCGGGCCAGCTTGTATGAAGGCATCTTTGAACAGAGGTGTACTTTCACTGAGGTTACACAGGACATTGTATCACACTGAAGTCTTCATCCCAGGGGGACGTTATGAAATGTGTGTGGCCTTTTGGATCATTACCATACCTGTGAGGTAAGACAACAATAGCCATTAGTGGACAGAGAGCTATATATTCTGCACTGTGTGGGAGTCCTCCAGATATGCCAGTAGTGTTCCTTCCCAGAACCACCAGAGGACCAAGACTGCAACAAAGCTTGGCATCGTTTCCCACCTTGGTGAGCCCAGATAGAGGATGGGTAGCCATGAAGACTCTTGTTGTCTTCGCTCAGAGACATCGGCTCACTGCATGCCTCCTTGCCTGGGCTGCACTTCTGTTCTCACTTGACTTCCAGGGCAGAACTGGTAGAAGGCAAATTGACACTGTCTTGTTTACAAAGCTTTGATTTCCGCTTTCTAATGCTCAAACCTTAAGCCCCTGAACTGTACCCTTTTCCAAAGGAATATAGTTCTCTAACACCATGGGCTAATAATGCTTCTGACTTTCCCCCAAGCCTTACCCTGTTGCCAGAGCTTAGAGTAGGCCCTAGAAGGAAGGTCTTTGCCAGAAGAACCCTCCAAATTAATAATTAGTGACTCTAGCTTTGTCCTAGCTCTGTGCTAAGAATTTTACATATATTATCTTACTGCTGAGTGACATAAAGCAAAGCTAACATTATTTAAAAAAAAAAAAAAGGCAACTCCATAGATACTGGGCCCTGGGCCTTGGCAGGTGAGTCTTAAACAAGAATGGGGCTGAAGTAGTGTCAGGGTCAATCCTAGAATTCCTCGGGGATCTTAGCAGCTAGAGCAGACAAAGCTCTCCTGTCTATGAATCTGCAGCCCACAGAGGGGGAATTTATCTCTCATAGGTCGCCTGCCATTAACAAAGATAAATCCAGGTATTGTCATTACAGTAATGGCCTCTGTGACTTAGAGGAGCTGAAAAGAAAGTCAGCGAATGTCAAACACCTTGAAAAATCTATTCATTATGAGGTCACCTTCTAAGGCATTCTCAGCAAACAATAGCATCCATTTTCACCCCAGACACCACTCTCTGTGGTAAATACAATCACTAGGTGACTCTGCCCTGTGAGTCCCCAGAAATTGTTTCTAATTATTGTCAGAAGCACATCAGTTAGCAATAAAGCCTCCAGGCAACAGTCCTCGTGGCTCTGATTAGAAACTCGCTTTACTTCTTTTTCTTCTGAAGGCATTTTTCACCCTCTGCATAGTCAATTGTTCACTCATAGCTGTGGGCCTGCTTCCTTACCCTCTTCTCTCAGTAGAGACACTGTTTTCTCAGCTCAGCCCTCTGGCTTGCCTTCCTTCTGAAGCCCCTCAGTACCTGCCAAGTGCTCACTCGTCCCTTCTGCTGTCCCAGATAGCTGATAAAAACTTCAATTATGCAGACGTATCTATACTCACACTGGACCAGGTACTGTGATAAGCATGGGGCAGATGTTATGTCACCTAACCCAGAGAAAAGTCTCTGGAAGAAATATAGTTATAATCTCTATGTTTGGGGAAAATGAAGGATGGGAATGTTAAATAATTTATCCAGAGTCATATAATTAGCAAATGGAGAAACTTGCACTGCTCATATCTAGCTTCCATCCCCTTGAGCCCGTGGGGTTGAGCTGGGCTTCCTAACCTCTGTTCTTCGCCGCACTACAGCATCTTCTTTTCCTGACCTCAGTCATCTAAAGACCTCTCCTCCTCACCTCTGATTACCTGAAGATGTTGGCTTAGTCAGTCTCACAATCCTTAGAGTCTTCAACATCCAACTAGACCTCATGGGGTTGAATTACAGGCTGTTAACCGTTTAAAATATAACATGGAAGGCGGACCCAGAGATGCATGGGTCCTACAGAGGAATGCTCCTCCCACCATGGAAGACCACTTGCTCTCCTCTGGCAAATTTAGTTCTTCACCTCTTCTACTGGTCACGCCAAATCCATTCCCTGCCTACTCATCATCCACTAGAAGTACAGACACAACAATGCTTCACCATCTCCCTCCCAGACTCTTGCCTCCTCTTCTTCCACCTCTCCTCCCTCTTCCAGTTCCCACGATGCTTAGACCACACCAAGACCTAAAATACTGTTCCTGGCATCTTTTTATTTACTGCTCTCCTGCATCTCCCTCACCTAGCTGGGCCATGGTGAGTTACCAAACATACACACAGCTGCTCCAGCCGCGACTACCTTCATCCTTCAAGCTGGCAAACTGGAACCTCACTAAAGCCATCACTCTTCTTCTCCCTGCCTCCACTAGAGCACTGGAGCAGGACAAAGGAAAACAACCCCACAGGCTGACAGGCTGATCTCACTGTACAGTCATTGACATACAAACCCTTAGTGCTTCCCATAGGCCTCTGCTTCTCCCAGTCCAAATCATGCTCCTGAAAGAGTTACCACCTTTCCTCCCTCCTCAAACCTTTACTATGTTCTGACTCTGGACAGACGGCTCTGCCTCCCACATCCCTGAGAAACTAGAGTGATGACGATTCCCCATCTCACATCACACACATCATCCTTCTGCATTTGCGTTGTATACACCCCACCTGTTATACACCCTGTTATACACCTGTTATACACCCCACCCTGTTTCTGAAAATACCCATCCCCTCACACAACCTCAGGTTGCTGTCACTGGTCTTTCACCTTCTCTACTGAATCCGTGTACAAACATGATGCTGTTTCCCCAACTAAAACCACAAACACCACTGGCAGAAGCTTCCTTGAATCTCACATATTAATTAAATGATTGTACTTGTCTTCCATTCATAGAAAATGTCTTCATGCCACTGTAAAGTTTCAAACCCAAGGAAAATGGCAACCACTCTATGGAATTTGATGTATTTTCTTCTTGATTTATATGTATATATATACCTGCTTCCAAATTCTCAGCACCCAAGACAGCATTGTGTTCCTAGTTTATAAATATGCCCAGTATTTTTGGGCTAGGGTCTGGGTTTGAATCCTTGCAAGGTGACTGTGACAACAGTAATCAGTATGGTAGAGGAGGGGTATTCTCATCACCAGAGACGAGACAAGAATTTGAAGGTTTGGGGGATCTACCTAGTAAAACCAGAGGCAGAAAACCAAAAACTATTTATTATTATCTTACTTTTATTTTCACCACACATATCTTGGGGTGCAGGGATCAGGGGCAGGGCTGAGAAATGGAGGTTACAAGTCTGTGTAACTGCAAGAACTGAAAAGCACTCCTGTCTTTGACAGGATGCAATTTAACCTGACATGTGGCTGCATCACAGGTCACAATGGGCATCTTGTAAGTCTTTTTCACCCACTCAATTCTTCCTCAGCTGCCAGGCGCTCATGCCACTCATGCCCCCTGCCCAAAGGTATGACGGTTTCACCCATCCGAGCATACCTGTTTCTGTCTATGCATCATTGTTAAGTCTGTCTGTGCAGAGGGCTGAAACACACCTGCTCAGGGAGCAAACACTTCCTTGGCACAGCCATCGACAAGGTCTTCAGAGCAGAACTGGGCGGAGCCGACTGTTCATTCGTTTATTGTAATAGCACCAGGCTGTGTTCTCAAGAACAAGCAAAAACCGCTAACCTTACATTGTTCTTTTTTCTTCATTTGCCTAGTCTATCCTGCCAAGACTTTTTGCATGAGAAAAAACACTTCTTTCTGATCCCCAGAGAGATCAGATGCCTTCAAGCGGGAAAATGTGCCTGCCCTGTCTCTGTTTCACCAATCACCAAATGACTCAGCCGGCTTTAAAAGCCAGCTGCGGCTGGCCGTTGACTAGGTGACCTCCAGGGGTGGTGGATTCAGTATGAAAGATGATAAGGATATGATAACAAAGCTTACGGAAGCTATTTTGCTTTGGTGTTCAACCTTTGGCGGGTGGGGCTGTGGGAAAAAGAGCAAGCTCTGCTTACGAATCAGTTGTGAGGAGCTGATGGTCCACGTTCCCTTCCTCCAGAAGCTAATCATAATTCCCACACCAGGAGCGCCGCCCCAGTCTGGCTTTTTCTCTGTGCTGGTCCCCATCAGCAAGAGCACACTGACACACCGGCTGATGAGCAGCTCCGAAACTTACCGAGTGTGTCCTTCCTGCCTCCAACCTCGTCGCCTGTCATCCCTTATTGTCACCAGGCTCCTGTTCATTTGCTCGCTGCTCATACTAATCTAGAAGATGATCAAAGAAAAAGGTCTACCGACTCACCCCTGCCTGGCCCAGCACAGGGATTGGTCAAGCATGTGTGTTAAATATTACTAGATTCTCATCTATTCTTTTCACCCAGCTTGCTAGCTCTCTCTCTCTCTCTCTCTCTCTCTCTCTCTCTCTCTCTCTCTCTCTCTCTCTCTCATTTTTTTTTTTCAAAAAATAAATAAATGAGTTCTGGGTTGGCTGAAGATTTCGGCAATGTGACTGCTGTGCAGATGGATCCCGCTGAAGCTGGGGCTGGCTCTCTAGGGAGTAGCATGAAATGCTGGTTTTCAAAACCTGAGCAGCGTGTAAATGGCAGCTAAAAGAAAATGCAGATTGGTGCTGAGTGTTAATTGTCTCTTCCTCTCTTCTTCACACACTTCAGAGACCCAAGTGGTGGCAGAGAGGCAGGCCTGCCCCCTCGTGAGATGGGCTTATTTTTTTTTTCCTCTTTCAAGCTGGACTGAGAGAATAACACCTAGAGCCCAAGTCAAAACATGGATTTTTTTCCTTTTTTTTTTTTTCTATTTTTTTTCAAGTTCTCATCTGATGAAAGTCAGGGAGGTGCACCGAGCTTATAATGAAAGTAAGAGTCTGCAGAGAATGAGTCCATGAGATGTGACACAGAAAGGGGAAACAGGATGTCTTTGTTTTGAAATGACAGGCGATAAGCTATGGGGTGCCTGGTGAGATGTTAGTCCATAACTAGGTAGCAACCTGTCAAACGCAGGCCCCTTAAATGCATCACAAGAATTCTCACTTGAGATGATTTCAATTCTAGCTCCGTGTGTGTGTGTGTGTGTGTGTGTGTGTGTGTGTGCGCACATATACAGCAAAATATAATTGAATGCCAAAAAAGCATTGTCATGTCCTGTGAAGGGTACAGTTGTAATCACACAGGTATCAAAAGCTTAAAATCCTCCGGTCACCTTCCTGAACGGTGACAAGGTCGGGCTCAGGAGCAGAGCCCAGTCCCTGAGCTATTTATTTGCATCTCTGAAGATTCTTGTTAACTCTCAAGATGTTAATCAAGCAGAATCCTGATTGACTGTCATTTCTCTTTATGCTTTTTGTCTAGATGAAATGGGGGTGATTTGACTTTGTACAGTTCCTCATAACATGGGGCCAGAGAGATGCAACTGGGAACGCTGACTCCACCTTGGCAAAGAACAGAATTTGGAATCTTTAGTTAAAAAAAAAAAATCAGTTCTCTGTGCCCCACCTGAGCCGCCATTCCCTGTGCCGGCTGATGCCTTCTCTCCTTTTCTACACCATTTCCAAGAAGACCTGTCACTGGAGTGCCAGCCCCACTCTGGCTTGCCAGTTGGAAACAAAAAAATAAGTGATTACAAATGAAACTACGTTATTATCTGCATCCATGCTTGCCTTTGTGATAGAAAGGCCAGCTGGGCTCCACCTTTTTGGTTCACTGGTTTGGCTGGGAAGGATGGGGTGGATATTGTCCAAAGAAATGACTTCCTGTTGCTGTTGTTCCCCAGATCACATTCCAGTTTCTCTCAGCACTGTTTCCTAACTGAGACAGGGAGCACTCAACCTATATCAGGTTGACTCTGGTAAGGATGAAGTTCTGATAAGAACTGTCCAGAATGGCAGCTGGGGACGAAGGTGTGTGGGGTAGTTCATCCCAGCTGGCCCCACCTCTGAAATGGAGCTCAGGTGGGAGACAGAAAATTGCCTGTTGACTCTGAGCCTGGTTACGCAGACACCCACAGGTCAACAGTCCCATTCCAAATCTATCCCATCCCTCAGGGGGGAGGCCCATGTGCAAGTCATCTTGGCAGAATCACCATAGAGTAATGGTGACTAATAAATGAGAGTAGTGGTGGCCTCTGATAAAAGGGAGGCTGATGTTGAGTAACAGATTTCAGGGCATGGCTGTCTTCCCTGCCTGTGTGCAGGGGATAAGCTAGACCTACTCCCCCCAGAGCTAGCACGGGATGAAGCTGCTGTCTTACTCTGTGTGAACATTGACTTGATTCCATTGTGGCTGTGTGTGAGTTTCAGGCAAGGTCTCAAAACTGCTTAAATGTTGCTAGCTAGCTGTTGAACATAGTTAGGTGTCATTGTCACAGAGATGCCTCCGTTCGGGGATATCAGGTGGCTGACCCATCCAGGAGCCTCATATGCAGACTGGTCCAGGCTGATCTTGATATCTGTTAGTTTAGATTTGAAATGTTCCTCTTCATATGCTGATGTCCCAGTCAGTGGTGCTATTAAGAGGGGTAAAAGCTTTAGGAAAGCCAGACCTCTGGGGGAAGTCACAGGAATCATGCCATTGGAAGGGATTATAAGACTGTTCCTTTGTTCTCTCTCATTCTCTGAGAATTGAGTAGCCTTGCCCTACCAAACTCTCTCTGCCACGATATTCTACCTCAACTCAAAACTAAATGGCAGAAAGCAAGGTGGTCACAGAACGAAACCTCTAAAAACCATGAACCAAAATAATCCTCATTTCTTAAAGTGTTTTTTCTCAAGTGTCTTGACACAGTGGCACAATTCTTACTAATCTAGCAAATGTAGGGGTATGGAGAATGAGAGCTGGAGAGATTGCTCAATGGTTGAGAGTACTTTTTGTGCTTCCAGAAGACTCAAGTTTGGTTTCTAGAACCCAGTAGCTCACAGCCTTCTGTAACTCAAGCTCCAGGAGAATTCAATGCCGTTTTCCTGCCTCTGAGGGTTCCTGTATAGGCATGGCATATACACATAGCCACACACATGCATGCATGCATACATATATACATACACACATACATACACACCACACACACAGGCTGATTTTTTTTTAAATGACACAGTAACTGCTGTCCATTTTATATCATCCACACAACTCAGACAGAACCATGCGAAACTAGCTCTACGAATCTATAAAGCTTGAAGTCAGAGCAGAAATGACCTGGTAGAACAGGAGTCAAGAGAAAACTAACTGAAATGGACCATGAAATGACAGAAATACTTCCAGAGTGATAGAAATGAACTCAATCAAATGTGGGTTGCATAAGCATCTGCATTTTGTCAAAACCAATCAAGTTGTACACATAGTGTCTATACCCATCACTATGTAAATTATGCTTTCATTTTTTAATAGGATGTTATTTCTTATGTAGGAGGTCTTGAGGGGGGAAATTCTAGCACTGCTCACTCCCAGCCAGCTTTTCTGAAATGAGGGGAAAACGGGCAGTTCCCAAGTTCTGTTTCAGGTGCCCTACATCCCCATTGGGTACGGAAGCAGCTCACACCAAAGCCTGCACCTGAAATTCAATCCTCCACTCACCCAGCCCTTCAGAAAATCTCTATCCACCAAACCCACCCCTTCAAAAAGGTCCCTGGCTGCTCTGAGGTTGTTTCTTCATTGATGAAATAAAGGCTAATGGGCTCCATATACTCTAAAAGTTCACTGCAGGAAACAAAAAAAAAAATGTTTTTATAAGTTGGGAAGAGCCACAGGAATATAGCTTATACACCATCTCAAAATGAATATAACTGTTTAGACACATGCCTGAAAGGGATGAGATCCTTGGTGTAGTGTTAAAACTCTAATTGGAAAATCTGCTATGAGAATATCCATAAACAAGTTATTACTAAATAACCATAAGCAATAATGATATGAATTTTACTCTACGGTACACAGGTATGAAATAATACTGCATTTCTTTAATTATATGATCTATTCTAAGTCTCCCCTAGTCTGAAAGGTTGGGCTCTCAGATCAATTTGGGTTTGTGCTGATCAACTCTTAAGTGTAGCATTACCAGCTCATAACCTCAGATTTATCATGGATTAATCATGTTCTTGTGCAAACACAAAATACAAATTCCCTCTTCTCCTTCCTGTTATCCCCAAGATATGGGAAGATGTTGAAGACAATGGTGTGTGTGTGTGTGTGTGTGTGTGTGTGTGTGTGTGTGTGTGTGTGTGAGATTGAGAGAGAGAGAGAGAGAGAGAGAGAGAGAGACTGCTGCCATATATGTTCATAAGACATAAATATTTTTATATAACCCAACTGTATATGTATGTGTATTAGACGTTCTATGGCTGTGAAAACAAACCTAAGGAAAAAACCTTAAGGATATAAAGGTTAATTTTCTTTCTTTTTTTTTCTTTCTTTTTTTTTTTTTTTTTTTGGTTTTTTTTCGAGACACGGTTTCTCTGTGTAGCCCTGGCTGTCCTGGAACTCACTCTGTAGACCAGTCTGGCCTTGAACTCAGAAATCTGCCTGCCTCTGCCTCCCAAGTGTTGGGATTAAAGGCATGTGCCACCACCGGCAAGATTAATTTTCTTATAATTCAGGGGATTCATTCATAGTGGGGAGGACATGGTAGAGTAACTCCCCTCACGGCAGCCAGGAACAGAGAGTTAGAATGTATGTGCTAGAGATTCTCTTCTTCCTACTTTGATTCTATCCTAGCCCCACAATATGAGATGATTTACTCACAGGAGAGCAGATCTTCTCCTTTTAGATAATTCTCCCCAGAAAGGCCTTCACAAGCACAGGGATATGTTTTATTAATTTTCTGGGCATTTCTAAATAAAATGAATTTGAAAATCAAAATTAATCAAGACATATGACTAATGCATTTATTTGTGTATTAAACATAATGTATAAACATTCCAGTAACATCTCCAACCTCTAAAGAGTCTCACTCATAAATTTCAGTTCAACCAACCAAGTGAACAGAGTAGGCTTAATGGATGAAACTCATTTCAAAGGCCTTCAGTAATAATAAGAAAAACATTCTCCTTAACTGTGACAACCTGACTTTGGGCTAGGACAGGGAAGTAGGCTCAGATATTTTGGTCATCCTGATAAACCCTTAGAAACAAGGATCACGGGAGTGTTCAGGGAACTTTGTTTATTGCTTTGTTTGTTCTTTGACTATTTGTGTTTGTTGTCTTACTTGTTCCTTGACTATTTGCATCTATTGTATTGCTAATTCCTCAACCTAGAAC